TACAACCGTGCCCGATATTTATTTTTTAATATATTTTTATGGTCGCCTTCCCCATTTATCGTGAGCTAGAAAAATGTCCGGGCTGTGCCAAGAGCTCCAAGAGGATCCTGAGGGCTGTTGGGGTAAATTCTTGGAGTTCAGACCCGGGAAATGTGGGAGAGGCTCTTCAGATCCGTGTTGGAGTGGTGACACCCCTGGGCCTGCTCCAGCCTGAGCCTCCCAAGGGTGACAGTGGGACCCCTCCTGCTCCTTGGGGGCCTCAGCAAGTTTTCCCAGGAGTTCTCATGAGCCTCGGAGATTTTTTGGGATGAGGTCAATGCCTGCTGGGACAGGGTGTCCTGGCAGGATTTTGGGGTTAAAATCACCCTGTTTTGGTGCTTGCAGCTGTGTCAGTTCCCACACAAATCCATCAGCTGTGAGATCCCAACCTAGCCAGATTTAGCTTTCCTGAGGTTCTGGATCTGCCCTGAAAACAAGTTCTGAAGAACTTCCAAAAAAATGTAGTAGGAGATGTACCTTTTCTACCCTTTTTCTGCCTGGATGTGGCTCAGATCATGGCAGTTTATCAATTTCTCAGGTGCAGACTGACAGGGAGCAAGTCAAATATCACTTGGAATGGTGGAATTCCGTGAATATAAAATTTAATAAATTAAACTGATGGGGTCTGGGTAAGGGGGTTGGCAGCTGGAGATACATGGGATGATTCCATGTATCCTTGGGGACCACAGGGCTGGACTGGCCATTCCTGGAGCCTGTGAGAGGAGCAGCAGGCTCTGGAAGAGGATTAATTCTTGCTCTTTACACTCATGGGAAGTAAAGTGTCTGGGCAGACAGGATCCAGGTGGGAAGTTTGGATGGAGACGTGGGGTGCTGGTGTTTTGGAGCAGGGAAATTCTGGGAATCATTCCTGCCTCAGGCCTGGGATGGCCTGGCCACGTCTCCAGCTGTGCCCGGAGAGTGAAACTGGCTCCGAGCACAAAGCGAGGGCCCTGAGTCATCCCAGGATCCAGGAATTGGGGCTGAGGGGAAGCACCAGAGCAGGAGGCTGAGGAGAAACTTTGGGCTTGGGAAAGCTGGGCTGCTTCCAGCAGGAAGGGGAGGTTTCTCTGCATTTGGGGTGTGATGGGATCCAGCCTCTGTGGGGTCTCGTCCTTGTGTTAAGTCATTCCCTGCCCTGGGAATGCTGGCAAAACATTTTGGAGTGAGGGGGCAGCCAGGAGAGGCCGTTCCCAAGGAAACTTTTCCCATCCTGGCTGGAGGGGACTCTCCCACCCTGGTTCTTCCATGAAAACTTTTCCTGTGTTTCTCCATATTTTTTCCTCTTCCTCCCAATTTCCTTCCCGATGGAGAGCCCACAACAATCCCGCGGCGTAGCGAGGCTGGCATAATGGGATGGGACATTTCTCAGCACGGAAGGACTCGCAGGGTCGGGGCTGAGAGGCTCCTTCGGGCACCAAGCCCAGACTTGGTGGTGATGGGAAAAGCGAGGCTGGGCTGGAGGGTCAGCGTGGTCACCCCATGCCCCAGACCCGGCACCAGGATCCCGCTGGAAGCCAGCTGCTGTGCAGGCAGGCGGCTGAGCTGGGAAATGCCGGAGTTTGGGAGTGCTGGGAGCTGGCCGGGCCCTGCCCTGCTCTCTCCTGGCCTCCCTGCGCGCTGGGATAATTGGAAGGAGAGTTTCTCTTGGATCGGCTGTTTGCTCACATGCTTTTTGTTGGAAAGCAGGACGAGCCTGGATGTTTCTGGGAGCTGGGGGAGGAGTGGTCCTCTCCACTGCTGCAGGCTTTGGTGAGGAGGAGGAGGAGGAAACCCCAAAACCTTCACCTTCCTCTGCAAGGACACGGTGGAACAGATCCACATCCACCTGCAATTAGCATCTCAGCCTTTTATTCCCCGTTCCAGCCTCGCAGGGAAGCTGGGTTGCCATCCCAGCGGCTCGACCCTTCCAGGGATGCTTCCCTGCGCTCGCCGAGCCAATTCCTCCATCCTGACCTCATTCCAAAGATCACAGGAATTGAGGAGAACAAATCTGGGCTCCCGCTGGGCGGGCTTTGAAGCCTCTCTGCCCTGTCCAGCTCCTGCTCGTGAGGAGCAGCGCAGGAGGAGCCCCGGGTGCCCGGGATCGGCTTCCCCCTCGGGAAATTGTTGGTTAATCCTGGCCGGCCCCTCGGCTGCTTCCCATGGGATGCAGCCCCCGCACCTGGCTGAGCCCCCCCGGCGTCCTCGGGGCCGGCTTGGGACGCGCTCCCGGCGAGGCAGGAGCAGCCCAGCCCTGCTCGGCTGCACTTCCCTGGGTCCCATCCGTCATCTGTTTGTCCTGGTCCCCTGCCAGCGATTGTGCCGATTCCCACACCCACTTTCCATAACCCTCCGTCCTCGCCCGGGCGAATCGCTGGCGAGAGCTCGCCACCCATCCCTTTCCCCTCCTCTCCGATGGGATCAGACACGTTCTGGAGAGGGGGGAGAAAGGGAAGGGGGTGAAAAGAAAACAAAAAGATCAAGAGGAAAACACAAGGTGACTCACTGACTTTTAATTTATTTGTGTTTATTTATTTATTCCCTCCCCCACCTCGGCTGCGACGTGCAGGCAGCACCGAGGGCCGGCCGTGAGCTTCCAGGGAGCCTCCCTCGGTGCCCAGGGCACCAGGAATGAGAGGGATAAAATTCCCCGCTCCTTTGGAAGGAGGAAAAGATCGCGGAGAGGAGCTCCTAGCGGCACAGATTTTTCAGGCTGCCCCGGTCTTTGCACGAGCATCCCGTGCCCCGCCAGCTCTCGACACCAGCCGGCACAGACCGGAGGGTGGGAATATCTAATTCCACCTCCTACACCGTGTCCTCGGCAGGGGAAAGAGAGAAAGAGGAGATAAAAGGCTGGGAAGCTCAAATGGTGTCATTAGGAACTATTAATGCTCTCATAAAAGGGCATTAATAAACGCGGCAGCTCATCAGTGTCCATTAGCTCTGCTCGTGGCAGGGATCTTTGGGAGCTGCCGGAGTGTGATGCTCCCCTCGCCCTCACCGACGTGTCAGCAAAGGGGAAAAGGGCTGAAGGGGGGGATTATTCCTCCTACAAACCATTCCCTGAGCGAAAAACAAGGAGAAAATGCCACAGGGCCTCACACCCCACCTCTCCAATCCCTCCCAGATCCCCGCAGCCGTGCCCAGAGCTCGTTCTTGCTCCCAGGACAGCTGTTTACTACTAAAGAAAAATTAAAAGGCAGGGTTTGGAGCGTTCATCCCGACTTTCTCCCTCCCGCCCTCTTCCTGTTCTCGCCTCTTAAAAAGGAGCTTTATCCTTTGACTCTCCCATGCCCGAGGCTAGCGAGGAACCCGCAGCATCTCGGGGCGAGCAGGCAGCCCACATCAGCGGACAGGAAAGCAGGGAGGAGGCCCGGCCTGGCCCGATAAGCCCCTGGCAAAGCCAGGAATAGCAGCGCGGTCCCCGCACGGCGCAAAGAAACCCGCAGTCCCTGCCTTTGAAGAGCTGGGGCTGGCAAGCGGCCCGGCCGCACGGCGAGCTCGGGATGAGCCTGCCCCGGCGGGCAGCGGCACATCTGGGGCAGCGGGCACAGCTGGAGGTCTCGGGCACATCTGGGCGGAGGAGGTGTGGGTGGGCTTGGCGGTGCGCATTTGGATGGCGCGGATGTGCACATCTGGATGGCGCGGGTGTGCGCATCTGCACGGAGCTGGTGTGCACACCTGGATGGTGCGGGTGTGCACATCTGTACGGAGCGGGTGTGCACATCTGGACGGCATGAGTGTGCACATCTGGACAGCGCGGGTGTGCACATCTGGACAGCGTGGGTATGCACATCTGGGCAGGGCCGCAGCCGCCCCAGGGCCCCGCGTGTCCCCTGCAGCACCCCCGGGTGCTTCTCCCCTCCCATCCTGCTCGGAGACTCCCCCCCGCCTGTGGTGCTGGGCACCCAAACCTGCCCAAACCCTCACTCATGGCCTCCCTGACACCGGGACATTTGCGGCTCCGGCTGCAGGGGTGGTGAGCTGATATCCCAGGATCTGAGCGGGCTCCCCGGTGACCTTTGGTGTGCCAGGGGCAGCTGGCAGGAGGCCGCCACCGGCCGTGACTCAGCGCGGAGCAGGTTCCTTTGGAGGGAAAGGGAAGCTTTGATCGCGGGGAGCCGAGGCACCGAACCCTGTTCCCCACGTGCACTTTTGCTGGGAGTTATCTGAGGCATCTTTTTTTTTTGGGATAATAACTCCCAGGGCAGGTTAGGACGGAGGAGGCCTGGCAGTGGAGCGTGTGTGGGCAGGACTGGAATAACGGGTGCCGTAGGAGAGGATTTACGAGTGCCGGGAGGGTGGGAATGGCCGGGAATAGCACAGCAGGTCAGGGGTGAGGTGGGATGCGTGGGGCCACGATGTGGATGCAGCTCTTGTTATCGTCCCACTGTCACCCATCTGGTCCCCACAGGATGCTCGGTGTCCCAGGAAAGGCTCCCTGCTCCCAGGAAACATCCCAGGATGGAGATGGGAATCCAAGCCTCCAGTGGGACTCGCTCTGCGAACAGGAGTTTCTGTTGAGAGCAAAGCCAAAGCTTTGCCATGGGAACGCTGGTGGAAATCACCACAATCCCACCTGGAATGGGCCAGCTCTCCCAAACACCGGTGTGCCGAGCAGCACCAAGGCTTTTCATAGAATTATTGAGGCTTTCCCGGTGTGCCACATCCTGAACCTCTGGCCTGGATCTCCAGAGCATTCACAGTCTCCCTGTGCAGGTGACACCAGCGTCACCACACTGCCAGGGCACTGTGGGTACAGCCCCTAGATCCCAAATAGCCAAAGAAAAGCCCTGGCACACTCCTTCCCACCCACCCTGCAGAAGTGGTTCCCAAATGATCTTTACAAGGAAAGCCCACAAAATACTGGAAAATGAATCCCTGAGAAGTGGGCACAGCTGGAAGGGCAGAAGGGGTCCATCGCCCCATGTTTCTCCTGACAACCCCAGTTTCACCTCACCTCCCTCTTTTTGTCCTTCCAGGGTTCGGATCTGAGGGTTGGGAAGATCAGAGGGAAGGTCCTGACAAGTGAGTGCAGACCCCACATGAGGGGTCTCAGCCAGCTGGGACGAGGGGGTGGCGGTGCCGGCTGGGGTGGGCACCCCAGGACATGAGGGGGGACACAAGGGGGGACACAAGGAGCTCCCCAGGGCACAGCTGGGCACTGCCTGAAATAGGAGCCATTTTTTCTCTTCTTTTTTCTAGAGGCAAAAGCGGTTTAAAAACTCCCCAGAGGTTGGAAAGGCTCCAAACCAGTGCAAAAAGAGGGGGGAGGGATAAAACCCAAAAGAAAAACAAAAGATAAAAGTGGGTGAATCCCAACAACTCCTGTGATGTTGCAGGAACAAAGACTTTCAGTTCAAAAGGGGCCACTTTTGGCTTGGGGAGGTCACACCCCAGGGGAGAGGGGCTGGGGGCTCACCTGGCTGAGTCCTGGAGGAGCTTCAGCCTCCTGTCTGTCCCTTGGTGTCACATCCTCCTGTCCCCAGTGGAGACCAAGGGGTGGCTGTGCTCCCATGGATGTCCCTTTCCCAGGGACAGCCAGCCCTCTCTGTCCTCAGCAGATGGACATGCCCTGAGCCAGCTGCAGACCCCACATCTGGGCAGCTGTGCACTGCTGCCTCCCAGCCTGCAGCACGGTGTGGACCCCAAGGTCCCTCCTGAGACAGCCCTAGGGGTGCTGACCATGCCCTGGTGGGGGGCTGGGGTCTCAGGTTTGTCCCCCCAACACTCCCCCCCAGCCCAGGGGAGGCTGCACCCAGCAGGGAGGGTGCAGTCATGGGGAGGGGGATGGAGGGGAGGTCAGGCCGCTCCGGGATGTGGTGAGGGGCTGCTTTTGGTGGCTGCTCTGCCCGTGGAACACCTGAGCTGATGATGGTGAGGGGTCACAGTACAGGGAGCTGGGTGGGAGAGCCAATCCCAGCCTGGAGGAGGGTGATGGAGGACCGGTTCCAGTAGGAATTTTGGCTCAGAGGGATGCTCAGCCCTTCTCTTCTGCATCCCAGGTTACAGCCGGCCCAAGCCCGGGCGCTACAGCGGCTACCACCGCTACCAGTTCCGCCTGTACCGGCAGCCGCCACACGAGACCATCGCCCTGAGCTCCGAGGAGAACGACTCGCTGAGTAAGGACCCGCTGTGCCCTCCATGCCAGCCCCGAGGGGCTTTTCCAGGGCTATGGATAATGCTCCGGCAGGCTGGGGATGCTGGCTCGGTGCAAAGGGATCCTTACAGGGGACGTGGGTGAGGTGTTAAATCCTTGCCGAGCAGCAGAAACCCTTGGAAAACGTCTGGTAACGGCCTGGCTAGCGGGATCTGAAGCCGGGAGAGATGTGGGCTGTGAAGTGCAGCCCTTGCTGGCACATCCCCCCAGCCCGAGCCGCGGGAGTTGCATCACCGGCACCTCGGAGCAGGCGGATAAGGATCAGCCCTGGAGAAGGTTTAGCAAGGAATTGCTCAAACCGGGCTGACACAACCCCGCCAACTCCCAGCTCCCCAACTCCTCCCAAAGTCTTTCACGGAAGGGATGGAGCAGGCGAGACCCCCGAGATGCCCAAGGGCACCGTTCCTGCTGCTCCATCGTGGGGCACGGGGCAGCCTGCGGGACCCAGGGATGGATCCATCCTCCTCCCTGCCCTGCCTGGAACTCGGGGTTTTGCAGCCCACGTGGACTCCACAAAGGAAATTTCAAAACTTTCCCAGCTGGGAGCGCATGAGCAGGGCTGGACGGGCAGGGCAGGGCAGGTCTGTGTGTCTGGGCTGTGCTGCCTCAATCACCACGGCCCGGAGAGGGGGGCTGGCTCCGGGGGGCTCTGGGACAGCCCCTGACCCTTCCCCTGGCATTGAACAGTGCTCATCCCACAGCCGGAGCGGGATGAGGCTGCCACGAGTCTCCCTGCGGGTTCTCCCTGCCCTTGGCTTAGTTTTCTGGCTCATTAGCTCCGCTTCCTAATGACACCGCTGCTGTCACTCCCCTGCCAGCGGAGCCGGCCCCTCATTCCTGCTCGGAGGAGGGGGCTCCGTGTTGTCCCCGCATTTTCATCGCAGCATCCCGGAGCTGGGAAGGGAAGCAGAGACATTCCAGATAAATCCTCTTATTAGCAGGATACGTGGCTCCAGCCCCACAAATGTCACTCCCAAAGGGGTTCAGCCACCCTGGGGAAGGTCCCCTACCACCCCGCTGTCCCCAAGGCATGGGGTGGCCGGGCATTCCCCAGCTGGCGCTGTCCCCATCCCATCTGTGTTTCCCAGCCCTTCCTGCGCTTCCTGGGAAAGACCCAGCGGATATTTTTCCGCAAGATCCAACGCCTGAGCATCGTTTGTCAGGCAGCTGCGGGGGTCTGGCCGGGGCTCGTGTTTAAGGACTCGGTTGAGGGTTATTTTTAACTGTTTCACTGCTGCAGCACATCCTTGGCCTGGCCAGGGGATGCTGCTGGACTGAGACACTGACAGCCCATCATCTTTATTCCCAGGGAATGAGCCCTGAAAGCAGCCAGAGGATGAGATTTTGGTGTCTTGAGGGTTTTAAATAAATCCATCCCCAAGGCAGTGGGATGAGCGCCGATGGATCCGCTGGTGCATCCAGCCCTGTGGTGCATGGAGAGGAGCAGACACCTTTGGCAGAAGGTGGGAACAAGGAGGGGGTGACCCCAATCCCAAAGGATCATGGACAAGGTCCCAGCCCAGATCTGCCTTGCTCCTCTCTCGCAGCAGAAACAATTCAGGCTCTCCTGGCGATGCCACAGGCACAGTTGGCATCCTTGCTCGGAATTTCCCATCTTATTTGGCCTCAATTGAACCCCTTCTCACTGCTTTTACTCTATCCTCCATCTGCTGACAGTGACATCTCTGTCTCCCCAAGGATGGGGACAGCCATCGCCACCAACCCTGGACAGGGATGTGTCCTGACCAGGCACAGGGAGCGGCGCTGGCCCAGCCCAGCCTCGGGATGTGTCCAGCCTGCAGCACTGCATCCTTGTGCTGGGATGAACATCCCTGTGCTGGGATGAACATCCCTGTGCTGGGATGAACATCCTTGTGCTGGGATGAACATCCCTGTGCTGGGATGAACATCCCCGTGCTGGGATGAACATCCTTGTGCTGGGATGGACATCCCTGTGCTGGGATGAACAGCCCTGTGCTGGGATGAACATCCCCATGCTGGCATGAACATCCCCGTGCTGGGATGAACATCCTTGTGCTGGAATGAACATCCTTGTGCTGGGATGAACATCCCCTGTGCTGGGATGAACATCCTTGTGCTGGGATGAACATCCCCGTGCTGGGATGAACATCCCCGTGCTGGGATGAACATCCCTGTACTGGGATGAACATCCTTGTGCTGGGATGAACAGTCCTGTGCTGGGATGAACATCCCTGTGCTGGGATGAACATCCCTGTGCTGGGATGAACATCCCCGTGCTGGGATGAACATCCTTGTGCTGGGATGAACATCCTTGTGCTGGGATGGACATCCCTGTGCTGGGATGGACATCCCCATGCTGGGATGAACATCCCCATGCTGGGATGGACATCCTTGTGCTGGGATGGACATCCCTGTGCTGGGATGAATATCCCTGTGCTGGGATGAATATCCCTGTGCTGGGATGAACATCCCTGTGCTGGGATGAACATCCCCGTGCTGGGATGGACATCCTTGTGCTGGGATGAACAGCCCCATGCTGGGATGAACAGCCCTGTGCTGGGATGAACATCCCTGTGCTGGGATGGACAGCCCTGTGCTGGGATGAACATCCCTGTGCTGGGATGAACATCCCTGTGCCTAGCATCCCTCCCTCTGGCAGTTCATCCCCTGGCAGAGCTGACCCCCACCGGAGAGCTTCTGCTCAGCCCCCAGAAGCACTCCCACCTGGCACGGGATGTGTTTTGGAGGCCAGGCCAGGGCCGGGGGAGGTGACAGTGCCAGGCGGGATGGCAGGAGCTCGGCCGGAGCCTCCAGAAGAGGGCACTAAACCAGGACCTGCCCGCGTCGCCTGTCCCTGCTCCTGGGAAAGATTCCTGGGAATTCAAATCGCGAGGGGCAGCGGCGAGCGTGGAAAACAAATCCCTGCTTCTTGTCCCTCCTTGCCTGGCTGTGCAATGCCAGCAGCTCAGAGGGAGTAGGAACATTCCCACGGTGGCTCCGGTGCCCGCCTGCCGTGGGGATGTCCCAGCTGGGATGGCACTGATGGGCACAGGCCGGGTGCTGGGGGGCTGCAGGACCCGTGCACGTCCCCCTGTCACTCGTGGTGATGTGGAAATCAGTTGTTTACAGCCGAGCTGTTTCTCCAGGGCGGCTCTTGAGCAAAAATCTTGTTTCATCAGAGAAAAAAAAGCCACGCTGATCCTTCCCCGTGAGTGTTTCTGATCAATCCCAGCAGCAGCCGGCTCTGTGTGACCTCGGGCAAAGAACTCAGAGCCTCAGTTTCTCCTCTGGAGTCTGATTCACTTCAGGTTTTGTGCCATGAAATTGTCACCGAGCCCCAGCTCTGTCCCCACTCAGGCCCGAAGGTGGGGACATTTGGGGTGTCCCCACGGCTCTTCCTGTCACCCGGCCCACTTCTCTCGCAGCCAGGAGTGTTACAAGCCGCGGTTGTGTTTTGGGGAGATGCAAGATAATAATCTGTGGTCTGTGAAATGTCACAGCCACATGAGGCGGCATCACTCGCCACGGGCTCTCAATCCACGGAAAATCCCTCAGCCGGGGGGAATTCAGGCACCCACCAGAGCCCGGCTGGGCTGCTGGGGAATTAAATGTTCCCCCACAGCTTTCATCGACTGGGGGTCTTTAATTAGCATAAAACCTTGATGCTTAATTGCACCTGAGTTCATCCCTCTGCTTTTCCTACCAGCTCCTGCCCTGGAAAACCGGGAATGGCTTTTTTCCCTGCAGGAAATTTTGCCTCTGGGAAGCAGCCAGTCCTCTGGGGAGCGGGGACAGGGATGAGCGCGGCCAGCCTGTGGCTCCATCCCTCTCCAGCCCCGGATCGGGACCGCGGCATTGACTCATGAGCCGACCTTGTGAGCCTCCAATCCGATCCACCCAGCTGGAAAATCGGGTTGGACTGGGCGCCGGCGGGGAGGGAAAGGCCGCGGCTGGGACGAGAGGCGGCGAAGGGCTGCGGGGAGAGCGCGGTGCCGGCCCGAGTCCCCGGGTGTCACTTAATGGTGACCAAAGCAGCTGCCGGCCTCCCGCCCACCTCTGCTGGGACATCATTAATCTTGGCAGAGAAAGCATCAGGGCTCCCATCAGGAGAACATTGCCGCTGATGAGGCTGATAAATTACAGCCGGGGGGCCGGGGGAGGAGGGGATCGGAGTTTGGGGGGCT